AGAGCTGGCAGAGGCTGGGGACCAGGATGGCCAAGATACGAAGCAAGTTGCGCCACGGGGACACCTGCCACTCGGGGGCTGCCCCCGCGAGCCCCTGCATGTCAGCCGCCCAACCCTTCCTGGCAGTTCGGACCCCAAGGGTGTGGAATGGGCTTCCACGAGAGGTCGTTGAGGCCCCGTCAGTAAGGGTGTTCAAGGATAGGCTGGACATGCACATGGTGGGCATGTCGTGAGCAGAGCCGGCTGGAGCCGGAGGTCAGACTAGATGGCCCGGGAGACCCCTTCCACCTCGCTCTGTTTCTTTGTTTCTAACCCCTTGCTCGTGTGCCAGACCAACAGCCAGCTCAGCCTTGCCCAGATCCACCGGCCTCAAAACTCGCCACCACCGTTAGTTGTGTTCAAATAATTCCCATGGAAAACCAACCGATTTTTGAGCTCTGCCTGGGAAGCTAGGAACGCATGAATAAAATTTACCTCGATGTACGGATAATCTGTGATCAGGTCTCCCTCCATATTATAAGAATAAACAGGCATATTTGAAGTCACGAAGGATCTGCAAGTTAGAAAGGACGGGAGGAACTCGCGAGGCGCACTCGGCCCCTCGCGACCCTTAAGGCAGAGTCCTGGCTGACTGTCCGGGTTCCAGCGAGGGGTGCGGTGTTGTTGGGTTGTGTTTTGTCTGGCGTCGTTCTCATTGCACTGCCCTTGAAGCCTCGGCCGAACTGGACAGGGAGCCTCTTGGGCTGGCCTCAAACGAGGTGGCAGGGAGAAGCCCCGCTCGCGTGGACACCACCTTGCTGAGCAGGATAGCAGCTGGGGCGCAGGACCCTCCCCTGCTCCCTCCCCAAGACGCACAGGTGGACTCGCACCGATTCACACCGCACGTTCTTACTCAGCCCGCCACAAGCCCGTGTGGCGCAGCGGGAGCACATTGGTAGAGCTGCACACCCGGGGCCAAGGGGACTCATACGGACTGGCCTCAGCCCAGCCGTCCTCCTCGGCCTCAGTTTCCCATCTGCAAAGTTTGCGGTAAAATGACCTACCTCACATTAACATTTGAGATCAGCCAGTTTACAATGCAATGGAATCCTCCCGAAAAGTGTGCGCCCTCCTTTTCCAAGCCAGAAATACCGAAAAGGAAGGTGCCAAGGGCCCCTGTGACCTCCGATCTGCTTCAGGACCTGCTGTCCTGCCCTGGAGCCAATGAGATGCTGGATGCGTCTCCAGCTGTCCAGGCTGGGCAAAGGGGCTCTGTGGAGGTGCAGAGTGCTCGCCCCGCCCCCCGGACTGGCCCCGCCTCCTGCTGTCCAGGGGGCCAGACCCCAGGCCGAGAGTCCCGCCCGCCCTCCCTCCCTCCCCTTCAGTCACGGACTCTCCCGACTTCCACCGACGAGGAGCCCCAGCTCAGCTCACTTCCCGTGGCAAAGCCGGGTTAGAGCAGAAGTTAAGGCGCCCAGGCGCAGCGACGGCGGGCTGCACACGTGCTTCTGGACGTCGACAGGAGAATCCCAGGCAAAAGCGGGAACGTGCCTTTCGGGGGCATCGCACAAGCCCAGGGGGCCCTCGCGAACGCGACGTGAGCGTATCCGCCTGGCGGAGAACCGCGACGAAGGAAGCAAGAGCCACTCACATCTGCTTAAGGCGGACCACCGTGCGCTTTCCTTCCACCAGCATCGCGTAGGACAGCTCCGCCTGCAGCATTGCGAGGAGGAGCAGATTTAGGCCTCGCTGAATCGCGGGCGCGCCGCGTGGGGGGACGCGCCTCCTTGGGCCGCGGCGCGGGGCGGCCCGGGCGCTCGTTCATTGCCCCGCTTCCCACCCAGGCAGGCGGCCCTCGGGTCCCCCCGCCGGCGCAGCAGGCGAGAAGCCACCTGTGGGCTGCAGACGGTGGGGCGACCCGGCGCGGCGGGGGGCCTCCAAGCCGGGCGCCCCCCCCCCGCCCGGGCTCGCCGCGCGCTGTCTAGCAGAGATGCCGCCGCGGCCCCGCCCCGGGAGCCGCCCCGCCGCGGGCAGCGCAGGCGAAGCAGCAGCGCTTACCTCGCTCTGCGCGGCATCCCGCGACTCCATCCGCCTCGGCACTACGAGCGCCGAGTACGGGCAGCTCGAGGGCTCCGGGAAGCCTGCAAGGGAACACGGCGAGCCT